ATGACAAATTGAAGAAGAATAGTGTTACATTCGTCATCAAAAAGAACATTTCAAGATCTATCTGCAAGTACAATGCTGTCTGTGATAGGATAAAATCTATTTACCTACAAGGAAGATCGCTTAATACCACCATTATTCAAATTTACTCCCCAACCACAAAAGCCAGGATGATGAAATTAAAGAATTCTACCAACTTCTTCAGGCTGGAATTGATCAAACACGCAATCAAGATGTATTGAAAATTACTGGAGATTGGAATGCAAAGGTTGGAAACAAAGAGGAAGGGTCAGTAGTTGGAAAATATAGTCTTGGTGACAGGAATTATGCTGGAGATCATATGATAGAATTTTGCAAAATCAATGGCATATACATTGCAAATACCTTTTCGAACAATATAAAAGATTACTGTAAACATGGATCTCACCAGATGGAATGCACAGAAATCATATTGACTTTATCTGTGGGAAGAGACTATGGAAACACTCAGTATCACAAACCAAAACAAGGCCAGGAGCAGATTGTGGAGCAGACCATCAATTGCTCATATGCAAGTTCAGGATGAAACTGAAGAAAATTAAAACAAGTCCTCAAGGGCCAAAATATGACCTTGAACATATCCCACTTGAATTTAAAGACCATCTTAAGGTTTGATGCATTGGACACTAATAACTGAAATCCAAAAGAGCTATGAGATGACATCAAGAATATCATACAGGAAGAAAGACAAAGGTCATTAAAAAGACAAGGAAGGAAGGAAAAGACCAAAATGGATGTCAGAAGAGACTCTGAATCTTGATCTCCAGCGTAGCGATTGATGCTAAAACAAAAGGAAGAAATGAGGAGGTAAAAAAGATGAACAGAAAATTTCAAAGGGCAGCTCGTGAAAATAAAGTCAGGATTATAATGAAATGTTCAAAGAACTGGAATTAGAAAACCAAAAGGGAATAACTCAGCATTTTTCAAGTTGAAAGAACTGAAGAAAAAAATTAAATCTCACTTTGCAATACTGAAATATTCTATGGGCAAAATATTGAACAATACAAGAAGGAATACAGAGTCACTGTACCAAAAAGAAATGGTCAAAGTCCCACCATTTCAAAAGGCAGCATATGATCAAGAGCAAATGATATTGAAGAAAGATGTCCAAGGTGCACTGAAGACACTGGCAAAAAATCAAGCCTCTGGAAATTGATAGAATACATACTGAAGTCTTTGTGCAGCATTGGTGGCACTCACTCATTTATGCCAAGAAATCTGGATGACAGCTACCTGGCCAACTGATTGGAAGAGATCCATATTTGTTCCCATTGCAAAGAAAGATGACCTATTGGAATGCAAAAATCATTGAACAATAATACCATTAATATCTCATGGAAACAAAATTTTGCTGAAGATAATTTTAAAATGACTGGAATAGTAAATCAACAGGGAACTGTCAGAAACTCAAGCCAGATTCAGGTTAGGAAGTGGAACTAGGGATATCATTGCTGATGTCAGATGGATACTGGCTGAAAGCAGAGAATACCAGAAAGATGTTTTTCTGGTTTATTGGCTGCACAAAGGCTTTAACTGTGTGGATCATGACAAAGTAAGGACAATATAGTATAGAATGGGTATTCCAGAACACCTCATTGTGCTCATGAGGAATCTGTACATCAACCAAGAGGAAGTCATCTCAACAGAACAAGAGGATACTGAATGGTTTAAAATCAGGAGAGGTGTGTTTCAGAATTGTACTCTTTCACCATACTTAATCAATCTGCATGTTGAGAAAATAATCCGAGAAGGTGGATGATATGAAGCAAAACGTGGCATCAAGATTGGAGGAAGACTCATTAACACCCTGCAATATGCAAATGATACAACCTTGCTTGTTGAAAGTGAAGAGGATTTAAAATACTTACTGACGAAGATCAAAGACCACAGCCTCCAGTATGAATTGCATCTCAACATAAAGAAAACAAAAATCCTCACAACTAGTCCAGTAAATAACATCAGGATAAATGGAGAAAAGATTGAAGTTGTCAAGGACTTCATTCTGCTTGGATCCACCATCAACACTCATGGAGGCAACAGTCAAGAAATTCAACAATGTACTGCATTTGGCAAATCTTCTGAACTAGACCTCTTTAAAGTATTCAAGAGCAAAGATGTCAGTTTGAGGATTAAAGTTCGCCTGACCCAAGCCATGGTATTTTCAATCCCCTCATACGCATGTGAAAGTTGGACAGTGAATAAGGAGAACCATAGAAGAATTGATGCATTTGAGTTATGGTGTTGGAGAAGACTATGAAAAGTACCATGAACTGCTGGAAGAATAAATAAATCTGTGTTAGAGAAGAAATATAGCCAGAATACTCCTTAGAAGTCAGGATGTTGAGACTTCATCGCTCACTCTTCAGACATGTTGTCAGGAGGGACATCATGCTTGGTAAAGGGGAGGGTCAGCGAAAGCCCTAAGAAATAGACTGACACCATGGCAGCAGCAATGGGTTCAAACAACAGTAACTGTGAGGCTGGTGCAGGACTGAGCAGTGTTTTTTCCTGTTGTACAGAGAGTCGGAAATGAGTCAATGGCCCCTAACAGCAACAACAGGCAGAGTGGACTGATTATACCTTTGATCCCTCACTATTTCCGATCCAGCCTTCTACCTATTTCTATAGAATACACTTAATATCACTTATTTCTTTACATTCTTGTCTCTCATACCAGTTACACATTCCTTGAGAAGTATTGTGAATATTCATGTCCGTATTCCCAATGCCAAGCCCATAACAGACTTTCAACAAAAGGTTGTTTAATGAATAATGAATGGACATGTTCTCTAAAACATTTGCCTAAGAATTTTCCTGTAGGATTTATTAGGGACAGATTAGTCTTTAGTACAGGATAATATTTACCTGCTTACTAAATAGGTTTAGAACATGCCCTATTTAATGGGAAGATGTGTAAAAGTGCACACTTTCAGCGAGTACATTTTCTCTTTCTCCTCTATTAGGTACAATGGCACCAAATGTGCATATGCATTAAGATATGTAAAAAGGACATCTATTATCCCACATATATGAAATAACTAGAATAGGCCAGTATATATAGACTAGGCCAGAATTCATCACTCATACTTCAGACATGTTGTCAGGATCAATTTAGACCAAACTTGATTACAGGCTACTAGGGCTGGGCAGGAGGGAGGGCAGAGGAGAGCTATTGCTTATGGGGGACACTCTGAGCTTCTCTAAAGAGTGATAGTATAATTAGGAAATGGATAGGGGTGATTGCTGAAAAACACGAGGAACCACTGAATTACACATGTAAAAATTCTTAAAATGCCCAATGTTTTGTTTACATATATTTACAATAGAAAAAAATGAACCAGAAAATTTGCATATATATGTATGTATGTACTTACAATTTAAATTTAGAATCACAACATATTATATATATATATATACACAATACGAGAAGCTGGGTTCTATGAAGAAAAACGTGGCATCAGGATTGGGGGAAGACTCATTAACAACCTGCGATATGCAGATGATACAACCTTGATTGCTGAAAGTGAAGAGGACTTGAAACATTTACT